CCGCCGCAGCTGTAGTTCATCAGCTGCATGCCGTAGCAGACGCCGAGGATCGGGAGCCCCATCTCGAAGATCTTGGGGTCGTACTTGGGCGCGTCGTCCGCGTACACGGACGCGCCGCCGCCAGAGACGACGAGCGCGGCGTAGCCGTCCCGGCGCAGGTCCTCGGCGGATGTGTGGAGGGGCAGCAGCTCGCACTCGACCTTGAGCTCGCGGAGGCGGCGGTCGATCACCTTGCCGTACTGCGCGCCGGCGTCCAGGATCGCCACGCGCTCGGAGTGGGCGGGGGCGGCAGGGCACATATCTGCCGGGCCGAGCGCAGCGAGCGTGTGAGCGCACCGATAAAAAAGTACGGGCTGAGAGGCGAGGGCCGCCCCGGCCGTGCGGCGACGCAGGGCGTCGCGTACGACGGCAGGCGCAGCCGGGGATGCCGCTGCACCCGCGAGCGGGCTGCGTGGGAGGCGACCCGGCCGCGCCGTTGGCAGGCGAAGCGCGGCGGTGCAACACGGCTGGCGGGCGCGAGCGAGCGAGCCGCGGCGGTTCGGTGGCGACCGTGGCGCGGCCATGAAGACGCGCCAGGCTGCTGGGGCGGTGCTCGCGCGCGCGGGGCGGGAAGGTGCAGGCTTACCTCTCCGGCGATGAGGGTATGGACCGGAGCTGCCGGCGGGAAGGGCGAGCCGCAACGATTTTCTTTCTTTTGTGCTTTCTGACGTTCTTCATTGAAATCGCACCAGTCACCTTCCAATCAATCACCCACCCTATCAAAAATCGGCGGCAGCTGTGCCTCTTGTGCAGCTGCAGAAAAGTTGTCCTGCTGTGCCGGCGTGGTGTACTCGCCCGAGCGCTTGATCCTTGTTTGTTTGTCCGCGTGATAACATCGTTGCCGCACAGCTTGCACTTCCCCCAGCTGCGGCGGTGCTCGAAGCCAGCGCAGCCAGCTTCCGCGTTGCAGCGCATCCGGCACGCGGCGACAGTCATTTGCTGCCCTGTCGTGCACACACAGAGAGTAAGTAAGTAAGTCTGTCTTCGATGGAGTACATGTAAGTGCCCGAGGAGTAGAGAGATCGCAAGAATTCTACCATTACATACAAGGCCCTCTCACAGCAGGCTGGCTCTCGGATGGCAACAACAACAACAGTCAACACAAATGGCAACCCTGTCTGCACGTCTCGCGCGCGCGTGAACAGGGCCCCAAATGACGTGTGAGTGTTAGAGTTGTTTGGTATTGCTAAAAATCTCTCTCGGATGGCACTACAAAAGTGTACAAAAGGCATGAAATCCCACTCGATACCTCCCAAGTCTCAGCCACAAGGACTAGGTGCGTGCGCTATTGGATGGAGACTCTCAAGCTCAGCGGTGCAGTTCGCTTCCCCCTCTTGTCCTCGTCACCGTACGCGTACCCGTTCTGCCTCGCGGTCGATCGGCGACCAGCCGAGCCACTCCTTGCACCTTGGCGCGGTCGACGGCCTCGCCGTCGTCCCACTCGCTGCACGAGTCGAACGAACTCGTCCTCTGATCCGTACCCCGTGAACTTGTCTGGCGTCCAATCGTTCCACTCGCCTTGCAGCTCGTCTTGTAAGTCTTCAACATACGCATACGCGTTGGCCTTTACGAGAGTTTCCGGCAACCCAGAGGGAAACCAGAGGGTCCCCAGCACTTGGAGTTTCCGGAAATTTCCAGGGAAACCAGAGGGTGTTTGGTGCTGCATTCTGGCAACTCCGAGTTTCCCGGAGTCTGAGAGCTGGTTTGGGGCAAGATCTGAGGCGAAACCGAGGAACCGGCAAACTACCGGGTATTTTCCAGGCACATGACATGTATACCTGGGGTTTTCCAGGATTACCCGCAAAATACCCGGTATTTTGCCGATTAGGCTGATTTGGGGCCCAAACCAGCCTCAGACTCGGCTCAGAGCCCGGGAAATTGAGTGATGTATGATGAGGAGTTTCCCCAGGAAACTAGAGGGTGCTGTAGGGAACTGGTAGGGAAACGATCAGGAAACACGGAAAGGAAACCAGGGTCCAGGCAGGGTGCGAGCGAGAGGAAACATACGTAAAGCCTAACATACGCGGCGAGCCGACGGCGTAATACTGCCGCCGCGACCAGCGCGGGCGGTCGCCGTAGCCCTGAAGCCAGGCGCAGCTTGCCCATGGAACAGAAATAAGGAAGACCGAGAGAGAGAGTCAGCGAGCTGCACGGCCCAGAGGCCCACAAGTGCGGAGGAGAGCAGGGTCTTCGCGGCACGGGCCTCCACGCCTAGGCTAGGCATTCTCGCGGCTGTGCAACTCAGCCCTAGCACCCAGAAAAGCAAGAAATCGGAGCCGCATCGCAGCCTGCGACCACAGTTTCGATCGGCAGCATCGCAGCCCGAATGCTGCCCTGCCTCCTCCCTCTCCGAGCCATGGTCGCCTGCCTGCTCGCCATGTCGTCCGCCAAGTCGATGTACCGGCCGCAGCGCGCGGCCGCGGCGGCCGCTGCGGCCGCACCGTCCACGGCGCCGGCTCCCGCGTACAACTACTCGCGAGACACGATGGAGGCGTATCAGGACGCGTCCGCGTCCAACGCCGGGAGATATCAGGCCGTCCGCGACCGCCTCGACGTGTCCTATCACGGCACCTACGCGCTCGCCCGGCAGCGGCTGCAGGACCGGCTGATTGGCTGCGCGCTGCGCGGGGTGCGAGGCGGCCGGACGAGGCCGTGGATCATCTTCACGGCGGGCGCGATGGGATCGGGCAAGAGCCGCACCTTTGAGTACCTGGTCGAGCGCGGCATCATCCCGCTGCAGGGCGTGCAGATGCTCGACTCGGACGCCTTCAAGACGCGGCTCCCTGAGTGGGAAGGCTACCTGGCGCGCGACCCGCTCTCGGCGGGGCTGCACACGCGGCGGGAGAGCGGCTACATGCTCGAGATCGCGCAGGAGGCGGCGCTGCGCGAGCGGCGCCACGTCTGGGTCGACGGCTCCCTCCGCGACGGGGAGTGGTACCAGTCCGAGTTTGCACGGCTGCGCAGGGAGCACCCTGACTACTCGATCGCGATCGTGCACGTGGTGGCGACGCGGCAGGCGGTGCTCGAGCGCGTGAAGCGGCGCGCCGCCGTCACCGGCCGCCACGTCCCCGAGGCGGAGATCGACGACTCGCTCGTCCGCGTGCCGCCGGCGGTGCGGCTGCTCGCGCCGCGCGTCGACTTTCTGGCCGTGGTGGACAACTCGGCCGAGCGGCCGCACCTGGTCGAGTACTGCACGGGGGAGACGTGCAAGCTGTGCGTCGACGACTGGGAGCAAATCGCCACCCGCCTCGAGTGCGACGCGGACGAGGGCGCCGCCGCCGCCGCCCCGCCCGAAGAGTGCCAGATCCACGACCTCGACTGGGGCGACGTGTCGAAGAACTTTGAGGCGGCGCGGCGCACCTCGAGCGCGGCGAGCAGCGACGAGTGGGGCTGACGCGGCGGATCCGCACGCTCCTGTACATCTCTGGTTGGCGAGGGTCGGGGGAGGCATGCCATGTAATTATCGAGAGGGGGGGTTGTGAGGTCTCAGCGCGGCAGCCGCGTTCGTGTCGCCCGTGTCGGCCAGGGCCTCACACCGCATACAATTTTGTCTATTGCAATATATGTCTATTACGCCGTTCTCTCTGTCGAATGTTTAATCTCAGTGTGCGCGCCGCTCTGGGCCGCTCTCCGTGTCTCGATCTCTCGTCGCTTGCGTGCCTGCAGCTGCACTGCCCGCTCTCTCGCCCCTCGCGCCCCTCCCCCTCCCCCCGCTCAAACCCCCCGGTCGCGGTCCGAGACCGCGCGCGCGCGCGGGCGCGGCTCTCAGTTTCACTTTTTCGCAGCGTACGAACTTGACGTGCCACTTCTCCGCACGCCGGTGTCCCCGCCGAGAGGGCGAGGTGGTGGCAACAATGGTGGTCGCAACAATACCGTACAGCCTCTCGAGTGGCGGCGGAGGGGCGGCACGCCCTCCGCCCCCCCGCGCGTCTCTCACGCGCGCTCGGCGTGCAGCGCGCGCGCGTGCAGCTTGAGGGCGAAGAGCGGGTGCTGCACCTCGGGCAAGAGCTCGGTGGCCTCGTCCAGCGGGCTCAGGTAGAGGTCCTGCAGCAGCAGCCGCGCGCCGCGCTTGCCCGCCTCGACCGTCTCGAGCGCGTTCGCCGCGTCGCACGTTTCGACGTGCACGCGAAGCTTCTCGGAAAGGTCCTCCTCCTTGAGCCGCTTCGCGCGCACCTGGCTCAGGCGCGGGGGGAGGGGGGGGGGGGCTCCGGCTCAGGGGGGAGGTGCGCCCCCCGTATGCTCTCCCGCTGCCCTCTCCGCCCGCCCCGCCCCGCCCCGCCCCGCCCCGCCCCCACACGGCAGCGCGCGCCTGCTCGAGCAGCGCGTCGTGCTCCGCGTCGCGCGGCCGCGCCCGCTGTCGCCCGCCGCCCGCCTCGCCGCCCGCCTCGGCCAGCTGCGACATCATGCCTACGCTGACAGCACCCCCCCCCGTCGAGCTGCGGCGGGCAGCGATGCGCCCGACGTGCGGGCTGCCGATCAGCGCGCGAGAGACGTCGGGGATGTACTTTGTCAGGTTCTTCTTCTTCTCCCGCTCGTCGGCGAGCGCGCGCTGCTTGACGATCTTCGCCTTGAGCTGCAGGCAGCACCTGCGGAGCAGCAACGCGAGCGCGTCAGACGGCGCGGGCGCGGCGGCGTCCTCGGGCGAGACGCGGCCGGCGCTTTTCGATGGCGCGTTTGACCGCCTCCCGCACCTCCGGGATGTCGTCCCCGATGTACTCCTTGCCCGTCCCCTTGAAGGGCACCTGC